TACCCTTTAAGGGCCACGTCCTAATTATTCCTCTAGACAGAGCAAGGCTCCTTGGCCCCTTGTAAAACTGCTTGTGCTGGAGGGTTGCAGCTCACAGGGTCCTGTTCATCAGAGTCCTCCTGGACAGTCCCTGACCAGCGTCACTGTAACAGGCCGAGACCCCGTCCCCCTTACCGCAAGTGTGAAGGGTTTGATAACTTGGAGAGGAAGACTAATTCTAAAGCCCCTGCTTCATAAGTATGTTTTGTCCTCAGTGTTTAAATACACTGAGTCACACCTGTGCATAACGTCCGTGTGCTCAGGCGTGCGCGCGCACACAGCCATTCCTGTGCCCGCAGGATAAGATGAGGCCACATTCAGGTGCCCTCCAGGTACCCTCAGAGGGCAGGCATCCTGCCCATCACCAGCTCACCATCTTCCCTGCTGCTGCCCTGTCCCCTCCCACACCTCAGGTTACGCGAGCCGGTAACTAACCAGCCTAGGAGGTCACACTTCACAGGCGTACTTCATGCCCTGTTAGGAAATCATTAAAGCCTTTGCTATAACTGATGAATACTTTCTAACGCAGCCGGAAAACTTGCAATTTATTTTGTCCAAAACGTTTTCCAAATGCGACACGGTTTCCCCACACACAATTAATTAGTATAGTCTATTGCTATTGCCTAAAAGCTACAAAATTAGTGCTTTGATTGGACTAAATAGGCTTTGTTGTTTAGGAATTAGATGTCCATGTTTAACTTTTCTATGTAGATTTCTCCTTGCTTTGGAGGTAGGAAGTATGACAACCCATTCCATAAAACAGGCAGAGCAAGAGCTTGGCAGCTTCTGGGGCCTGAACTTAACCGGCCCTTTCTCTTGTGCCCGCCCTCCCTAGATACCCGCCAGGCATCGTGGGCGTGGCTCCGGGAGGACTTCCTGCAGCCATGGAAGGGATCATCCCCGGAGGCATCCCGGTAACCCACAACCTCCCCACGGTGGCACACCCTTCCCAAGCTCCCTCTCCCAACCAGCCCACAAAACACGGGGACAGTCGAGAGCACCCCAACGAGCAATAGCAGAGAGTGACGGAAGGTAACCATTCAGATACACCTGGGACCAAGAGACAGTGAAAACTAGATGAACTAAGAGAAAAGGAATCTGACAGTCTTTTTAACTGATTCTGGACATACGCATCATTGACGTTGCAGTGTTAAAACTACAAAGGAGCTCGAAGCCGAGACGTGGGAAAACTGAAGATGTCGTCTGCTTGTGGAAGCGCTGAAAAAGACTAGGACGTGATTTATTAACGACCAACTTCTGTTATTGTGTGTTAAGTTTTTCATCTGTGCATCAAATCACAAAGAATAAATAGATCTTTTTCCTTTATCAGTCCCTTGGACACAGCAGGTCCTGAACACCTTGCTCTAGAATGTTGCATCAGGAGTTCCAAACAAACATCAAAATAAAAAATATTAAGAGGAAATCCCCATCCTATGACTCTAGTCCCTTCGGTCCACGGGGGCTGGTTACCTCTTTTGCTAATAGGAAGATTAAATTACTACAAAACGGGGAGAAAACTGTTTGCCTTTGTTAGACAACCGCGAGCATAGGATTGAAGACAGTACAGGCTCCTGTACAGAGAAGTCTCTCCCATCTGAACTGCATACTGAGCGGGCAAGTTGGTTGTGAGTTCAGTAAAAACCCTCTGATGATGCAAAAAAAAAAAAAAAAAAAGTATTAAGTTTCACAAGCTGTTTGTACTCAAATATATTTTCTCAGTTTCAGATCCTCAGCTATTTTATTGAGTGGAAAGTCTTGAACTGAAAGGGTTCAAGAAGAATAATGTTGCATTTCCTTATGTCTCAGGAAACACTTTTTATGGTAACTTGTCAGATTGTCTATGAACAAACCCACTTTTTTAGACATTGATAAAGTCTTCTTTTCTTCACGTGATATTTTATACAAGAACACTTCAGGTGTGTTATTAGATGTGACTGATTTTAACAAATCCTATTAGATTTGTATCAACTAGTTACATGTTATATTCATAGTCTTTTGTGAATCATCGCCTTTTTGTTTAAAAGATGGCCTATTTTGAGCCTTTGTATAGGTACATTCCTGTTTTTGTGACAAAAAAAAACCTTTAAAACTGTCCCAAACAGAAAAATAATGGCTATCAGAAATATGTTTTGTTTTAGTGTGAGTTACCGTTACTGTATTTGTTTATTGTAAAGGTGGACATTTAGCGTTCAGTGCAGTTTTCAATAAAAAGTAATAAAAATTTCTGTTAAGCTCTGAAATTCAAGTACAACTCACCAGTGTAAAAGTTCTCTCCTTGAGATATTTAAAGGCAACTGCATTTTCCATTAGCCAGTTTCCCAACTCTTGTTATTCCGAGGGTCAAAGATTTACAGTACTTTTCTGTCATCTACCTATTCCATAACCAGACGCAAGAATGCTGATAATTACTTCATGTGACAGTTTAATTGAAAAAATCAAAACTTTACATAAGTCCATCCTTATCAAATCATGCCATCCTTAAGATGAAATAGTGGGTTAGAACTAAGTCAATTCAAGAAACAAAATTGGTCAAGTTTTAGAATTTTGATTTTAATTTACCCCAAAGCAAAATTATCTGGCTCAAGCATTAATGCAGGAAGGGAGGTGAATCTCAAAAAAAAAAATTTTAATGATATTTACAAAGAAATGTTGCAAAATAATTAACATCAGCCATTTCCATAGGTTAGGAACTTTCCGTTGATTTTATGGGTCTTCCTTCTCAAATAGCATTAAACCCCTTACTACTAGCGGTATCTGCAAATGTCAGTCATGTCCAACAATTCCAGGTACCGAACTCCTTTTCAACCGCCTCCCCCCACCCTTTCCCATTTAAAAAAAAAGTCATGTCAACTTAAAGCATCAACCTCCTCACTCATTTTAAGGTGGTGGTCCCATCCCAACTCTCCCATGAAAAATTACATTGAAACCACCTGACAGGGATAGAGAGATCCTGGACAGAGATACAGCAAATGGTTATTGACCTATCACTCTGGGGAGCAAAGTGGCAGCTCAAGATCATCTTCACAACCACTTGTCAAACAGGCAATCAGTGAGGGGGTGACGTATGCACAAAAAGGAGACCCCAACCGCCTATGCACAGCAATAGTTCCTTAACACAGATTAAGTCTGTGACACGATGAGCCTAAAAACCAAAAACATAAAAAGGTCCAAATCCATGGTGTACTTGGGTTTTGACAGAAAACACCACAAAGGTATTACTGTCCGGAGTCAACCAAAAGACATACAATATCTGTCACCCTGCCATATATATAGTCTGAGAAAGGACTGCAAACTATCTTGGGACAACAGTTATGGCTGTTTGATAGTTCAAGAGCTTAACATAGCACTGATTCACCAAAATGTTGGCCTTTACCAGCCAATCTGCTGTGAAAACCATTTAAAGCCCCATCCCTGTCTGGAGCCTAAGAAATGGAGTCATATATATATAATTCTTTCCCACAGGGAAGAATGCTGTACCTGTTAAACTAGATGTGGTCAGGGTCACTGATCTATAAATAAATAAATAAAGAGGCACCTCAGGGGACACACCACGCAGCAAACACAACACACGGAGGCTAAGGCTAAAGACTGAGCCTGCAGTTCTCTAAACAGCACTGACTGTAATGTAGACCGTAGCAACTAGATGCTTTTCCCTCAAACATTTCTCTTCGGATTCTTCAACTGGGAGAGCAGTTTTTGCTTAACAGCAACTAGAACAGGATGTCTGGCCACTAAAGAATTCTCTCCCTATATATGGAGAAAAGTTTATAGGGATGCTGTGCTATGTAATTAGAATGGCAGCCTTCTAAAAACTTAATTCTGTCCAAAATGAAAGCAAACCATAGAGTCAATTTCTAAGAAAACATTAACCATTTGAAACAGTAACATACACCATTATTACATCAAAATTCATTCATATGGAATCAAATTGCAAATATTTTTCCTGCAAGTTCTAGCATGCAGCAAAAGCGATCATCCTGGGAACATGTTTCAAGGAGTGTTCAGAGGGAAGAAAGAACTAAAGAGATGACATCTCATAGGTAATTTTCTATTTTTAGTATTCCAGCATCAAATCTGAGGTTGTGCACATTTCAATAGCATCTAAACAGAACTAAGAAAACAAGAAGTAAATATTTCAAGGTTTTCACAGCCTTTTCATCAAAGAGAAGGAAAAGTGTGTGTGTGTGTGTGTGTGTGTGTGTGTGTGTGTGTGTGTGTAGGGCTTCTTGCCAAATTCCTTGCCACATCAATAGTCTACAAAGTGCTTACCAGGACACTAAGTCTTTTTGTGTTCCTGAGATAGGTCTGAAATTTTTACCCAGTTTCGAATGTATACCTGAAGTGGTCAAATAATACTTTTTGTAGAAAGTTTTCCTACCTAAGATTATAGTCTTAACTTTAAATAAGAATGGCCACAATTAACCAACATGCAAAAATTCTCAGACTACTCACTGAGAAATTCATTATACAATGCATTTACCACCTTACTGCGTTCTTAAATCTTTATTCTATACTGAACTGATATTCCCAATTAGCCCAAGCAAAGGCATGCCTTTCTAACACAATTTGCTTAAAGCAGAGTTGATGATAAAGGACAGTTAAGAATCCACAGACTCTATGCATGGCAACCTGGGAGAGTATAACATTGTCAACAGAGTCAAGTGGGAGAATTTCACACGATTCATTCAGTTTACATATGAATGGGCCGGCTCCCCCGAGCACTCCCCCGCCAGCACTTCCCTCACTTACATCCACCGAATAACTATTCACAAAGAGACTGCTGCCCAGAGTGTGGCAGAAGAAGCCCCATCTTAAGGGCACTCTTCCAAACAAATAAATACCTAAACACTGAAAAGGGGCATATCAGAAACTTTTAAAAAGACAAAACAATAGAAACCAAAACCCTTTCCAAAACAAGGGAACGATGTCTATGCAAAGTTCACTCAATAAAAAATCCTTACTTTTACAGTTTGTTCCTTAAAGATTTCATTTTATTTTATTGGGCACAACAGGAACTAAATTATTAATAAAAATAAAAGCTTGTTTTTATGTTTTGCTGTGGGTAATTTGTACAAAAAGTTTCCAAATCTCTAATGAGCTCTAGTGAGACATAATGTAAAACGGATCTTTTAAGATGCAAGTAGAATGCAAGGTTCTACTTAAACAAGAATTATCTCAAAGGAACAAAGAGTGATCTGCCATGTGCTTTTGGAGGTGCCCATGCTGGAAAAAACTTCTCAATAATATGAAGATGCTGGTACAACTTTTCCTATTACACAACTTCTTACACAACCACATGCGTTACATTTATAGACAGATTTACAATTTGAAAGGAAAAAAGTTCTGTCTTAATAAAATTCATTTTTTACAAACTGTAGTCCAAAGTTCTGTCTCCTCACAGCAGATGCATCATCTCCACTGGGTGTGGATCAGAAAAACCCTTCCAAGCAGATCCTGCCAGATCTGCTTCATTCCATGCCGTGCACTCTGCCTGGAGCACCGCAGCAGCGTGGAGGTCACCACAGAGCTGGTACCTTGCTCTTCTGCTCTTTGATTATTTTCATTCATCTTCATCATCTTCGTCTTCCTCCCCATCAGACAGGGATGTACAAGGCCGGATCTGTCGGTAGCGGTCAAGCCATTTTTCTACCATTTGCGTGACCAGAGGGTGATTTCGCCGCCGAGAGCTCTTCTGCATGGCCACGAGAACTCCTCCCTCAGTCACACAGCAGTCCAGCCACTCCCTGAGCAGCTTTTCTTGCTGTTCCTCATTACCTAGCTTTTAGAGGAACGTGAAGAGGAGGGAAAACAATACAACAGATCAGAGACTTGACAGGAAAAATTTAACAGAAATCTACAGCTGGTACGATTAATGAAAAAGCCCAGAGCAAGGAAGTGTTTCAACATGGTTTCCACCTCTCACCAATTTTATGTTTAAAACCCAGTTTCCTATGGTTAAATAGAAAAAAACATCAATGGGAAAATTCAAAGAAAAACCTAGAGGGAAGAATAGCCTAGTAATAAGTTAATTTGTTTGATATAATAGCAAAAAGCAAATGTTATAAAGAAAAAGCTAGAAAGAGAAAGTTGCAGCTTCAAACAGAACAAGGTAGGTTTACTCAGAAAGTTATGTATATAGGCTCAAGTTACAAAAATTATCTGAACTTTTTTCTTAATATCATGGTTATAAAAAGTTTATAATTATTACTAGTATATGAAATAAAGGACCGATAATTTTATAAGAATTTGGGCTGAGAGCGCTCTTTTACACATTCTCGCCACCTCCCCTGCCTGGCGTGCACCACCCGCTCCCCCGCAACTCCAGTGACCTCCCACCTGCTCCTCTTCCCACCACTGCCCAGGTATCGAGTCTCAACCGAGTTGCCAGTATTCCTCTTCTGGGCAAACTGGCTGTTGGCTCCCCAGCTTACCCAGAATAAAGCCAAAGATTTAAAAGACCATTGACGACCCCATGCCACCCCTTAACCTCTCAGCCTCGTCTCTCCCCGCTTGCCCAATCCCCACAAACCACACTGGCTTGAACTTCCCTCTACCTACAACTCTCTTCCCCCAGATTCTGCAAGACTCCTTCCTCTTTCAGGTCTCAATTCAGGCGTCACCTCCTCAGTGATGCCTTCCTTACCTTGGGCCCCCGGTGGCCCCCTCATCCCCCGCTTTCCCCCTCACCCCATCTTTTTACTTTATCTCCTCAGCACTCAGCACTACCTGAGGGCTAGGACTTTGGTCTTCACTGCTTTATCTCTGCAGAACACATCCTACACAGCAATTCTGAAAAGATAAATTTCAAAGTCTGTCTGACCAGGATTTACAGAAAGTGACAATTACTACGACCTAGTTCAAAATTGTTAAGTGGTAGTACAGATAATACCACACCTGAAAGACACACTAGGCTGGGTTCTGGTACAGTGCTGTTACTTTAAGTAATTAATACAAGAAACAGGCTTCTTACCTCCTGAGCAGAAAGGAAGTGCACATGGAGTAACTTCCTTTCACTGTCAACCAGAGGGAGAAATGTAATGGTGACATCGTCATCGGTGTTCAGGTTAGCACCAGCACCTCGGTTACCATAGCCATCATTTTCCATGGCAACCAAAGCAGAGAAGTGGCCCCTTGTATAGCCCAGAGCAATCGGACTTTTCCAACAAAAACTCTGTTCCCACAACAAAGGCAAATACACACCTGGAAAGAGGGAAGAAAGTCACAATGAGATTTTCAGGATGTGACTGCAATGTGCATTAAAATAATAAACAAGAAAGCTCCAAAATACTCATGGTAATGGCTTACCTTGAAACCGAGTATATCCCAAAGTTTCTCCCCGGAAACTTTTATAATATTTTACTCCATAAACTATAATTGGTCGTCTAAGAATATGTGCAAGTACAAAAATGTGGGTCTGTTCCAAACTTGCTCCAGGCTGTACAGAACAAAATAAAAGAAAGCAAATTCTCTTTAAAACATTTATTACCACCCCGGAAAACTGATGTGTATAACACAATGCTACCCTCCTTCATTATTACACTATCTCAATTCATTTAAAAAATAGTAATACTACTGTCCAACTAAAGAGTTTGATTCCTCAAATAGCAAAGTCCAATAAAAGAAATCTGCAAAGTTTATGTACAGGTATCCTTCATTATCCAAACTCAGGAACTGAACAGATTTGTTTAAATACTGATTTCAGAAACAAGAGATTCAGACACAGCAAAGGAAGCTTTGTTTATGTAACTGCCTTCTGGTTAAGTTACTTGTGATAGTACTACCCACAACAAGGTCCACCCGAAGTAAAAAGAACTTCGTTATTTCACACAAACATAAATGGCTGCAAATGGCTGCATCACCTAAGGCAAGAATATGCAACAGGTCTCCCTTCCCCCCATAACGATTCTGACAGCACCTTTACAGGAGGTACATGTGTCAGATATAAAACAGTCACTGTGAACCCTGCCCAAATGGCCCAGAGACAGAAGGTACTTCCCTCAGAGGGTACTAATGAATTATGATGCATTCTGCAAAGAAAAGAAGTGGTTTGTTGTGCATATATTTGAAGTTTATAGTTAAGTATATTAATATGCTTCATAAAATAAAACTAGCATGAGTGTGAGGGACAGCCCTACACAATACATCTATAAAAGTTCATTCCCAAGTTAGTTAATCATTCCTGTCCACGGCACCTTCTCCTTGGCCTACGTCACGTGGACGGGAGGCTCCTCACCTGGGGAGCCTTGTGAAGATCACAACTTGATCCTCAGGGGCCTGACAGCTCAGCATCAGCACCCACCACTAGACAGAGATCTTGGGGAAGTGTCCCCTCGGACACAGAATGGGAGCTAACCCATAGGTAGGTAAAACAAGCGTAAAGCCACCATTTTTTAAAATTTTTAAATTTATTATTTTTTAAAATTTTTATTGGAGTATAGTTGATTTACAATGTTGTGTTAGTTTCTGCTGCACAGCAAAGTGAATTGTTATACATATACCTATATCCACTCTTTTTTAGATTCTTTTCCCATATAGGTCATTACAGAGTATTGAGTTCCCTGTGCTACACAGTAGGTCCTTATTAGCTATCTATTTTATATATAATAGCGTGTATATGTCAATCCCAAAAAGTCACCTGAGCGGACAATATAACTGAAGAGTAATCTGAGGAAATATTTAAGAGGTTAGAATCACCAAGTACAACTTTTATTTGGGCAGTTTTTTAATCACTTAATATAAGAAACATGTTGCCCTCCCTGTGCTGCAGCGAGGACTTGCCTATGGTCCCAGAGCTGATAAACAGCAGTCACTAGAACCCAAGTCACCTGCTGCCAAGTCAAGCGCTCTTCCCTTCATGCCACACTGCCTCCAACATGGTCTTCATGTAAACCAAGGCATTTAGACCAGCTGCCTCCCTCTTCTCATAGGAGCAACATGCCCTGAAGCATTCTTACCTGACTAGCAAGAGAGAGTATAAATGCCCAGTCTTCTTGCCACTGTTCTTCTCTCAAGGAAAAATGTAAACCAAAGCTCTGAGAATACCACGACTCCCAATCTTTCCAACGTGTATAAAACCTAAAAGCAACAGAGTAAAAAAGAAGCCTTTCTATAAACAGTTCATTTAATGTTCCGGTCATTTATTTAATGTAGTCTTTAAGCAATTCAAATGCAGAGATTAATAATTTTACCTGGCTTGCAGTATATTTTTCCAATTAAAAATGCCTCCTTTCTGCTAGCAGACATCTTTTAACATATCCTCAGACATAATTTGATTCACCACCCACCAAATTTTCATCAAAACTACGAACACTAGTGATGAGAACAGTTGATTTCAATTGTCTACTATTGGTTTACAAATAAAAACTAAAAACACTCAAAATCATCTGAGAGGTTGGATAAAAATCAAAGACACTACATTTCTCCATTAATGAACAGTATCCACTACTTGGTCACAGACTAGAAATAGCCCATGTGTTTACAAGAATATCAAAATCACTTCCTTGAGATTTCATTCATTAAATAAAATTATTTGATTACCACATGACAATCGAAATAAAAAATCACTGTAACTACAAGAACAATCCCTTCTTCATGCTTAATACCTGTTTAAATACTTTGGCCTAATAAATTATGAAGACTAAAAATCAAACTAGGCCACTGGTAGACTGAATTACTAAAAGCAAAACATTCTTTTTCCTTAGATCAAGTATACAATTAAATAAAGCCAGATATAATTATGCTCAAAACTGTGATCCACTGTCTTACAAAACAAACCAGCAAAGACCTCTGAAGACATTTAACCTGTTTGTAACATTACATTCCTCTCACATGTAGTGAACTATCAGAAATCCCCAATACTTTTATGTATTTGAATTCTAGGTAAAAGAATCAAAAGATCAGAAAACATTCTTTTGCTGTTGTTGAAATGTTAAGGTATTAAATGTCTTAGTGTCACACGTTTCTTTAGAGTAACTTAATGCAGGGCTCTGTAAAAAGTAAATTAATATATTTTAGATTTAAAAAAGAATGTTACGGAGGCTTAACTCTTGTTTGATTAGAAAAAAACCTTTTCTATGCCAGATAACCATAGGTGTTTTCTTTTTAAATCAGGAAGGTAAGTTTCAATGCCAAATGTTTAAAAATAAAATATGGATATTCCTCTTTTAAAATACCTAAGATACACAGAAATATATTTCAATGCACCAATGACAAAATACATTGTTTTAATAAGTTTGAGGAAAAATATCATGAAACACAGAAAGTTGCTGCAGTTAAGAAATTTCTTGGTTGCTGCCTAGGATCGTTTTATGAATGAGATACCTAAATTTGCCAGAAATCAAATGATGACTTCACTCAAAACTCAAGAAGACTGCAGAAAAAGGGTGTTCAAAAATATATTTTAAAAATAAGCATGTTCACCATACAAAGACCTAAACACTCAAGCTACCTGGCTCACTGAGAACAGACAAGCAAACCAAATCCAGGAATACGAGGCCAAGCGGGACAGCAAGTTTGGCTTTAACATTGACAAGTCAATTCCGGGCTTCCCTGGTGGCACAGTGATTAAGAATCTGCCTGCCAATGCAGGGGACACGGGTTTGAGCCCTGATCCAGGAAGATCCCACATGCCGCAGAGCAACTAAGCCCGTGCACCACAACTACTGAGCCTATGCTCTAGAGCCCGCGTGCCACAACTAATGAAGCCCGTAGCCCCCGCTCGCCACAACTAGAGAATGTCCGCCCGCGAGCAGCAACGAAGACCCAATGCAGCCAAAAATAAATAAATTTATTTTTTAAAAAAGTCAATTCCAGGGCTTCCCTGGTGGCGCAGTGGTTGAGAGTCCGCCTGCCGATGCAGGGGACATGGGTTCGTGCCCTGGTCTGGGAAGATCCCACGTGCCGCGGAGCGGCTGGGCCCGTGAGCCGTGGCCACTGAGCCTGCGCTCTGCAGCGGGAGAGGCCACAACAGTGAGAGGCCCGCGTACCGCAAAAACAAAAAAAAACAACAAAAAACAAACAAACAAAAGTCAATTCCACATTCATGGATGAATTCCACATTCAGTGCAATCTGTATCAAAATCTCAGAGGACTTTTCTGCAGAAGCTAGAACCTAAAATTTATCTAGAAATCCAAAGAATTCAGAATAGCAAAAAGAATCTTGAAAAAAGTAGTACAAAGTTGGAAGACTTATACTCCAGATTTCAAAACCTACCACAATGCTACAATCATCAAGAAAGTCTAATGTCAGCATAAGGACAGACATACACATCAACAGGAAAAAATTGAGAGTCCAGAAATAAACTTTTACTTTTATGGTAAAATACTTTTTGACAAAAGTACCAAGGCATTTGAATGGGGAAAAAAAATAAACAGTACTGGGACAATTGGATATCCATACAAAAGATGATTTTAGATCTTTACCTCACACCTTCAATAAAAATTAGCTCAAAATGGGTCACAGACTTTAAATGTAAAAGCTAAAACTATGAAATTCCTAGGTGAAAACACAGGAATAAAACTTTAAAATTTTAAATTTAAAAACTGTAAACAACTATAATAAATATGCTAAGGGATCTAATGGAAAAAGAGAGCATGCAAGAACAGATGGGCAATGTAAGAAGAGATGGAAATCCTAAGAGCCAAAATGAAATGCTAGAGATCAAAAAAACCAACAGAAATGAAGAACATTTTTGATAGGCTTACAGTGGACTGGATACAGCTAAGCAAAGAACCTCATGAAGATACATCAATACAAACCTCCAAATCTAAAAAGCAAATATAATACATATAGGAAAAAAAAAAGTGAATTTCAAATAACCATGGGACAACTACAAAAGGTATAACATACAAATGTCAATAATAGAGGGAGAAAAAAGAAAGTAACAGAAGAAATATTTGAAACAATAATGACTGAGAATCTCACCAAATTAATGTCAGACACCATACCACAGATCCAGGAAGCTCAGAGAACACCAAGGAAAAATGCCAGAAAAACTACACCTAGGCATATCATATTCAAACAACAGAAAACTAAAGAAAAAAGTCCTCAAAGAAAACAGAGTATAAAAAACACCTACCTGGGACTTCCCTGGTGGTGTAGTGGTTAAGAATCCTCCTGGCAATGCAGGGAACACAAGTTCAAGCCCTGATCCAGGAAGATCCCACATGCCACAGAGCAACTAAGCCTGTGCGCCACAACTACTGAGCCTAAGCTCTAGAGCCCATGAGTCACAACCACTGAGCCCGTGTGCTACAACTACTGAAGCCCGTGTGCCTAGAGTTCGTGCTCCACAACAAGAAAAGCCACTGCAATGAGAAACCTGCACAATGCAATGAAGAGTATCTCCCGCTCGCCACAACTAGAGAAAGCCCACGCACAGCAACCAAGACCCAACGCAGCCAAAAGTAAATAAATAAATAAATTTATTTTTAAAAACCCAAAAAACACCTGCCTATGCAGAAACAAAAGAATTATATCCGACTTCTCAGAAACCATGCAAACGAGAATGAAGTGAAATATTTTAAAAGTTGAGACAAAAAAAAAAAAAACACCAACCTAGAATTCTATATCCTGTGAAATTATCCTTCAAAAGTAAAAGAGAAATAAAGTCTTTCTCAAACAAACAAAAATGGAGGGAATTTGTTGCCAGAGACCCGGTTCACAAGAAATGTTAAAAGAAGTTCTTCAGAAAGAAGGAAAATAACATAGATCAAAAATTTTGATCTACATAAAAAAAGGAAGAGCATTAAGAAATAAATTGAAGATAAAATTAAAACTTTTTATTTTTTATTCTTAATTGATCTAACAGATAATAGTTTATTCAAAATAATAATATATTTGATTATGCATACTTATGTATATATATATATTGTGTGTGTATGCACGCGCGAGAGTGTGTGCAGGTATGCGCTTACGTATGCTTACATATAAGTGAAATGAATGACAATAAAGATACGAGGGACAGGGCTTCCCTGGTGGCGCAGTGGTTGAGAGTCCGCCTGCCAATGCAGGGGACACGGGTTCGTGCCCCGGTCCGGGAGGATCCCACATACCACGGGGTGGCTGGCCCTGTGAGCCATGGCCACTGAGCCTGCATGTCTGGAGCCTGTGCTCCGCAATGGGAGAGGCCACAGCAGTGAGAGGCCCATGTACCGCAAAAAAAAAAAAAAAGATACAAGGGACAGAAAGGAGGAATTAGGATTATTTTGTTATTATGAGGTAATGACACAACCCATGAAGTGGTACAGTTTTATTTGAAAGCGGAGTTGGATTAACTGTAAAAATATACTGCAAACTCTAGGGCAACCACTAATAAAAGTTAAAAAAAGAAGTATAACTGATATGCTAAGAAAGTAGAGGAAATAGAATCATAAAATACTCAACTGAAAACATGAAAGACAGGGGCTTCCCTGGTGGCACAGTGGTTGAAAGTCCGCCTGCCGATGCAGGGGACACGGGTTCGTGCCCCGGGTCCGGGAGGATCCCACATGTCACGGAGCGGCTGGGCCTATGAGCCATGGCCGCTGAGTCTGTGCTCCGCAATGGGACAGGCCACAACAGTGGCTTCCCTAGAGTTTGCAGTATATTTTTACAGCCCGGGTACCGCCAAAAAAAAAAAAAAAAAAAAAAAAAAGAGTGAAAGACAAAAACAGGAACAAAGAACAGGGCAACAAATAGAAAACAGTTACAAACATGGAAGTTATGAATCCAACTATATCAATAATCACTTTGAATGTCAATGATCTAAATGAAATAATGCTGACAACATCAAATGCTGGCAAGGATATGGAGCAACAGGAATTCTCATTCATTGCTGGTGGGAATGCATAACAGTACTGCTACCTTGGAAGATGGATGGGCAGTTTCTCACAAAACTAAACACATACTCTTATTAGATAATCCAGCTATTATGAATTTTGGTGTTTACCCAAAGGAACTGAAAATCTATGAACACACAAAACCCTGCATATGCAAGTTTACAGCAGCTTTATTCATAACTGCCAACACTTGCGAGCAAAGTGTCCTTCAGAGTGGATGAAATGGCTACATCCAGACAGTGACGTACTTTTCAGCGTTACAGAGAAACGCGCTAATATCTAAGCCACGAAAGAAACGCGCTATATCTAAGCCAAGAAAAAAGAGAGGAGCCCTAAATGCACATTACGAAGTGAAAGCAGCTGATCTGAAATGGCTACATATTATATGACTCCAACCACATGACAGTGTGGAAAAGGCAAAAACAACAGAGACAGTAAAAAGACCAGTGGCTGCCAGAGTTAGGCAGGAGGAAAGGATGCACTGGCAGAGCACAGAGGATTTTGGGGCATTGAAAATACTCTCTCTGACACTATAATTGTAATCCTCTGTTCAATACTATCAATATAATGGTGGACACATGTCATTACACATTTGTCCAAAATCCCAGAACGTATACTAAGATAAACCCTAATGTGAACTATGGACCTTCAGTGATAAGAATATTGTCAGTGTCGGTTCATCACTTGTCACAAACATACCACTTTGTGGGGGATGTTCGTAATGGGCAGTTATGTGTGGGGGGACATGGCAAACAACGGTGCCTTCCTTTCCATTGTGCTGTGAACTAAAACTGCTCTCAACAAATTAAGGTCTAAAAATGTATATAGAGAGGCACAATAATAAGTTATCCAAAGATGATATTTCTAAAAGAACTGATTTTTCACCGATTTTTCCCCCTATTTATATTAACTACTCCCATTTGGCTCTCTATTTGGATTGACATGTCAATCAAAGGTAAGTACAATATTCCATCTTGAGCACTTGAGCCGGATCAAATCATAGGCACCCAACAGAAGAGCACAACTACCACCACAAAAAAAATGTCCTATCTTTAAGTGATAGGAGGAAGGGCTTAAATAAAAGAAAATTACTTTCTCAGTTCTCATTTAGATATTTTATGACTTAAAAAAAGTCTCATCCCACCTGATTTGGATTATGAGCAAAGGAAACCCTAGCAAAAAGCTGATTTAAAAGGAGACTGCACAAGTGATATACTGGCTGCTCCTCTGCTGACCTAGGACAGGGCCCTCTCATTCTACCTTCTAATAGTCATATTAAGAGCCCAGTCAACAAACTTGTCACAACTCAAAACAGTCAACAATTTAATCATTATTCAGTAAGGCTAATATATTTGACCCACATCACTGATGCCTTGAATCTACGGCAACAATGCTTCCTCTCTCCCCATTTGATAAGCTTCATCCCCTCTCCACCCCAAGATAGTGAAAAGCATGTCTATGTGATCACTACAATCCTTGCAGCTTCCTATGCCTTAACTGTAAAACATCAGGTGAAGACCCTGTATGGCAGGGATTGCAGGAGGTGGCACCAAGGCACTCTTTATTTTAGAAAGCCTGTTCATACGCCAGCGAAGCATCCTTTTAGAACCAAGGCCTCCACTACCGAACGATCTGCTACAACAGCACTTACGAGTGGCTGCACTCATACAACCTAGGTCCTTCTCACTCTCAATAGCCATCTAGCCCATTTTCTACCTCAGATTACGGCAATCTTTTTTTTTTTCTCCCTACTTTCACATTAGACTTTTGAGACTTCAAATGACTCAAAACCAGAATTTCAGTCCTAATACAAATATAAGTGACAACTCCAATCCAGAAGATCACCCACTGCCAGCTTTGAGAAACAGGTAGCATAAAGTTCCCAAACTATTAATAGCCACCAATGTCTTTTTCTTTTTAAAGCCCTGGCAGCTAGGAAAAGTAGATATCACCTGCTGAAATTTACAGTACACTTTCAACCTCATAACAGGGTCAGAATATTACTGTCAGAGGAAAGGCTAGAGCTGCCTTTTAAAAAGGACTTGTAAAATGGTAGACTTACCAAGGTCCAGATCTAGTTTCCAGGCTGAGCAGCTAGACCTCATCCACACCCAGAGGACAGATCTATCTTGCCAAGGGCAGAGTCACATTAACTAAACCTACAAGGCAAACCTGTAAAACCACAATATCCAAAACGACTCTCATCCTCTGACTCTCATCCTCTCGGTGTGGGCAGGCCCACACAAACAGCCAAATCATCATTAGGATGTTGTTTGATGAGCACGTAATCCAATCTAGAGGTCAAACAGACTGAACATTTAATGACATCAGGCTTACCTGGCCTGATGAATCCGCATCACAAAAGGAATGGTATTGCCCACACTACCAGATCAATCCAGAGCAATCACCCTCCACTAAAAGGCACAAAGTCCTCTCCCCTGGACAAGGGCCGAATGTCTAAACCATCAGTTCTGAATGACACATTCTTTCTTTAGCTAACCAATCAGGTTACCATCTGAATTTACAGTTCAAGACTAGTCATATACTTGATTGACTATTGGATGTTTTTAAAATAAAGGATATTTTTGAGACAAGCTGACAGTGTGATTTGGACAGTATGCTAGATAACTGAGTCAATGTTGATTTTCTTAGATGTGGTAATGAGGATGTGGCTGGGTAGGAGAATATCCTTGTTCTTAAAAGATGCATGCTGAAATACTGAAGGGTAAAGCACCAGGATGCCTAAAACTAACTGGCAAAGGGGAGTGTTTAGGTACACAGAGATGGAGCACCTGTGGCAAAATGTTAACAATTAACAACTGGCCAATCCAATGAAGGAAATGCTGGGGTCCCTTGCACTGATTTTTTTTTTTCTGTGGATTTGAAAATTTGCAAAATAAAACATGGTCTTAAGACTACCTGTCTCAGGAAGAAAAACTCGTAATACACAAGCAATATAATCTCTTAAAGTTGAACAGAAATACGAAAGCAAAGCTACTTTAAAATACGAGCACCGGAGCTGTGACCAAGACACGAAAAACAGTGTACATGTAGTTTAAAATTTTCCACTAGCCACACACTAAAAAAAACAAACAGGCGAAACCAAAAAATAAAATATGAGCAAAGACCTTTCTGTATTTAAGACCACCACTCCAACTTCAAATGTTTCTATTTTAAAGCTTAGCAAAAAGATATGAAAACCACTGAGATGTTCAAAGTGTCTTAGTGCCGAAAACCAAAGTTTTCTCCCCCTAGCTTCCACAGAAAATATAACAGACAAAAAGTATCCCACCACTGTAAGGAAATGATTCAGCCAGTGCACTCCTGGATTTAAAAAGGCAAGGATGTCAGCTCACCAATGTGAACAGTCATGTAGGCTGTCATGCAGGGCTTTCCGAAGCACCGAGTCCTTGTCATAAATGCCCCAGGTAGCTTGTAGTACTGAATCAAGTAAGCAGTCTCCTGCAGTCCGGTTCCAAAGTGCATACAGTCGACTGTCCAAACGTGTAGCCAATTCCAAGGACCAGTTTATAATTGGAGATTCTTCTTCTAACTCTATATGAAGAATTTAAATAACATGTTCATATAAAACATTAATAAAGGAAATTGAAGATGATTCAAAGAAATGGGAAGATATCCCATGCTCTTGGATTGGAAGAATTAATATTGTTAAAATGGCCACACTACCCAAAGCAATCTACAGATTTAACACAATCCCTATGAAATTACCCATGACATTTTTCACAGAACTAAAACAAATAATCCTAAAATTTACATGGAACCATAAAAGACCCAGGATTGCCAAAGTAATCCTGAGGAAAAAGAATAAAGCAGGAGGTCTAAACTTCCCAAACTTCAGACAATTACTACAGTAATCAAAACAGCATGGTATTGGCACAAAAACAGACATATGGATCAATGGAACAGAACAGAAAGTCCAGAAATAAACCCACACACCTATAGTCAATTAATCTTCAACAAAGGAGGCAAGAACATACAACAGGAAAAAGACAGTCTCTTCAGCAAGTAGTGTTGGGAAAGTTGGACACATGCATGTAATAAAGTTAGAACACACTCTCACACAACACAAAAATAAACTCAAAATGACTTAAAAGACTCAAATACAAGACATCGCACCATAAAACTTCTAGAAAAGGACGCAGGCAAAACATTCTCTGATATAAATCGTACCATTTTTTTCCTTAGGTCAGTCTCCCAAAGCAATAGAAATAAAAACAAAAATAAACAAATGGGACCTAATCAAATTTACAAGCTTTTACACAGCAAAGGAAACCATAAACAAAACAAAAAAACAACCTGTGGAATGGGAGAAAATATTTGCAAACGATTTGACTGACAAGGGCTTAATTTCCAAAATATACAAACAGCTCATACAACTCAAAAAGAAAAAAACAAACAACCCAATTGAAAAATGGGTAGAAGACCTAAACAGACATTTCACCAGACATACGCATGGCCAACAGGCACATGAAAAGGTGCTCAACATCACTAATTACTGGAGAAATGCAAATCAAAACTAGAATGAGATACCACCTCACACTGGTCAGAGTGGCCATTATTAAAAAGTCTACAAATAACAAATGCTGGAGAGGGTGTGGAGAAAAGGGAACCCTCCTATACTGTTGGTGGAAATGTAAGCTAGTACAGCCATTATGGAAAACAGTATGGAGATTCCTCAAAAAACTAAAAATAGAGTTGCCATATGATCCAGCAATTCCACTCCTGGACACATATCCAGACAAAACTATAATTCAAAAAGATAAATGCTCCCCTATGTTCAAAGCAGCACTACTCACAACAGCCAAGACATGGAAACAACCTAAATGTCCATCAACAGATGAATGGATAAAAAGATGTGGTACAATGGAATATTACTCAGCCATAAAAAAGAATGAAATAATGTCATTTGCAGCAACATGGATGGGCCTAGAGATTATCATACTAAGTGAAGTAGGTCAGAAAGAGAAAGACAAATACCATATGATATCACTTATATGTGGAATCTAAAATACGACACAAATCAACTTATCTACGAAACAGAAACAGACTCACAGACATAGATAACAGACTTGTGGTTGCTAATGGGGAAGGGGGGTGGGAGTTTGGGGTAAGCAGATGCAAACTAGTATATACAGGATGGATAGATAACAAGGTCCTACTGTATAGCACAGGGAACTATATTCAATATCCTGTGATAAACCATAATGGAAAAGAACATAAAAAAGAATGTATGTATAACTGAATCACTTTGTTGTACAGCAGAAATTAACACAATATTGTAAATCAACTATACTTCAATATAAATAAGTAAATAAATAAATAAAATGTTCATTTTCATGCTTCTGCAATTAAGAAATATTCAGTGGAAGAACCTATTCTCTAGAAGTTAATAGATTTAGTATGTAATTTACTAATAAACACCTAAATAATTCTGATCAATTGAAATATAAACCTTTGAGTAGTTGAAACACCTTAAGGCTCTAGAATAATCGCCTTAAGGCTCTAGAATAATTTACTCCATTTTTAAATTCTTCATGATTTATTTTCTAAAAAATTTTAATATGAAAATATACTCATTCTAGAATAGGAAACAGAAAACCAAGGTTCAAAAATGTTTATACCTTTATTCACTCTACCACAGTTAAGAGCTATGAATGAGCACTTCTAACAGCACAATACAACACTGTTCTTAAGGACTTTACATTTTCAATTTAAAGTAGAAATAAACTATGTTGACCATACACCAAACTATTCCAAAGCTTACAAAGCAAAAAGTTTACTGAAATCAATAAAAGATAAATTATACTCATTAATTCCATGCTTACCTTTTTGAACATCTCTATCAAGCACCTCATCAAATAATTTTTCTTGGACTGTTGGAGGCAAGTCTTCAATATCTACAAAGAAAAACCAGATTTAAAAAATCTTTATATGTCTCATAACTGAAAAAATTTGATGCCAGCATCTAACAGTAACTTCCTCTAAAATAACTCCCTTTCCACCGAAGGCTGTCGAATAGCTTCTTTTAAAAAACATGCATGTATCTCGTGTGTGTGTGTGTGTGTGTGTGTGTGTGTGTGTGTATGAGGTGTAAAATATTTCCTTTCTGTACTTCATTATCAAAACTGTGATCTATCTACAAACAATAAAAAGAAAATCATTTGGACCAGTAATTATATATAGCTATTATCAAAACAACAAGAGATAACAAATGTTGATGAGAACGTGGAGAAAAGGGAACCCTTGTGCACCAGTGGTGGGAATGCAAACTCGTGCAGTCACTATGGAAAACAGTATGAAGTATCCTCAAAAACTTAAAACTATCATATGACCCAGCAATCTCACTTCTGGGTACACAGCCAAAGGATATGACAACAGGGTATCGAAAAGGTATTTGTACCCATGTTGGTTGCAGCATTACTCGCAACAGCCAAAATATGAAAACAACCTAAGTGTCTATCAATAGGTGAATAAATAAAGTAGATGTGATATATCTATACAATGCAGTATTATTAAGCCATGAGAAAGAAGAAAATCATGCCATTTGCAACATACAGAAGGACCTTGGAGACATTATGCTAAGTGAAATAAGCTCAACAGAGAAAGACCAATATTGTATGGTATTACTTACATATGGGATCTTAAAAAAAAAAAGTCAAACTCATAGAAACAGAGAGTAGAAAAGCAGCTGCCAGGGGCAAGGCAGGAAGGGATAGGGAGAAATTGCTAAAAGAGTACAAATGATAAACCATAAAATGAAGACAGCTAGGATTAAATGCAAAACATAGTAACAATAGTCAGTAACACTGTATTGTACAAATGAAATTCACTAAGAGAACAAAACTTAATGTTCTCACCCAAAATATAAATAGATAAATAAATGTGAGGTGATGAATGTGTTAATTAACTAGATGGGGGGAATCTAGTTAATTAACAGTTAACTTTCACAATGTATGTATAAATCAAATCACCACAAAGTACATTTTAAATATTTTACAATTTCCTATGTCAATTATAATTTAATAAAGTTGAAACAAAAGAAAAAAGAACAAAGCTATCTAATATTCAAGTTAAAATAACAATAACAACAACAAACAAACAAATTTTTGTCTGTTCTCTTTCCCCCACACTCAACCTCTGCTCAGGACTGTTATTTTCAGATTTTAGAATCTCCTTATACAAGTTACTGAGCCATTCACTTTGGCACGCAGATTTCTGTTTTCCTCACCTTCTCAAATTCTCTATGCTCCCTGTTCAGTTTACTAATTGAGTAGTCTAGAGTAAGAAGCATTACCCTTACAAAAATGTTTTAACCTTAGAACTATTTTCAACTTAAAATCTAATCATCACTTGAAGTACTAAGTTTAAATATACAGAGTGCATTTCAAATGAAATTTGTCTGATTTTTAAAAGCTTAGTTGTTATTTTCTACCATTTTGTAAATACCTCTGTTCATATCTCAATATAAAAAAAAGCTCAAAACACTCAAAACCAAAATATAAGTTTTATTTAGAACCTTTTGGTGTTTACTGCATTTATTCAATGCCAACTGACAAAAAACAGCCTGGAAGACATTTCCACTTGTCATGGAACTGAAAAATAGAAAGTTGCTTCACCAATATAGTAGAAATTAACGTAGTAAGTGAAGAAAGTAATGACACTTTCAAAAGAATGCCAGTATCTTTGACTCAAATAACTTGACTCTACCCATCAAAAACCCATGTTCTGATCTTATCTCCTAATATCAGGTAACCAATAGTTATCTATGAAAAGAAAAAGAAAAAAAAGCAGACTGATAATATCCTAAAATAAAAACAAAGAGAAAAATAAATGGATAAAACAGACTTTTTAAAATATCTAAGGCCCACAAAGAAGTCACTTATTATCAGCTGCTGTCTTCCTGTCAGCTCTAAGGCATTAGTTTATAAATGGCCCCTGTACTGGTCACTTCCAGTAAAACAGGGTAATCAAGTAATTTAAGATCCACATATAGTAGCTAAGTTATCTGTTTTCTAACAGAAACATTTTCATTCAGGCATTTAAAAATTGTAATATAAAGTTGAAATTTATTTTCACACAGAGATTTGGAGTTACCTGCTGGCAACGTAAATGTTACAAGGTCAGTTAGGAAATAGCAAGCAAAATCCCCCTTTCTCTGATGAAGAGAGGCAGCTATCTCACGCCGGATTTGCTCCGTCAGTTCAGGACACACCATTGCTGGAATACACTTTGCGGCTTGTTGAGACACCTTAAATACAAAAGAAACTTTCCTCTACATCTCATTTATCATCAGTGGAAGCAGAAAACAATAGTGTATAAAAGAAATTACCAAAATTTCCCAGTAACTCAAGGTGTTTTTGTTTTAAATATATGAGGTACTGGGTGTTATTTCCTCAATAGTATAAGTATATATCAGTACAACTTCCCTGGAAAACAGTGATAAAAATGCTTTACCCTCTCAACTCAGTAGTTCTACTTTCTAGTGGAGTTTATCCCAAGGAAATACACAAAGATGCATATAAAAATTTATGTAAAATGAAGTTGTTCACAAACATTCATCATAGGAGGGGGAGGGAGGACAAAAAACAAAGTAAGAATAACCATCATGCCCCTAATAAAAACATTCTTATTAAAAAACAGGGAATTCTAGCTCACGGAGAAAGAGGAAAGTACAAACACTCTTCTGCTCTGTTAAGAATATTTCAAGTACTTTGACTTAGAGTAAAGAAAAGCATGATTTTTTTAAATAAATTTATTTATTTTTAGTTATTTTTGGTTGTGTTGGGTCTTCATTGCTATGCGCGGGCTTTCTCTAGTTGCGGCGAACGGGGGCTACTCTTCATTGCAGTGCGCGGGCTTCTCATTGCAGTGGCTTCTCTTGTTGCGGAGCACGGGCTCTAGGCACGCGGGCTTCAGTAGCGCGGGATCTAGAGCACAGGTTCAGCACTATAAGGATGCGGCCCCAGAATATGTATTTTCAACCACCTCCCGAGTGATTTTTTTTTTTGGCTGTGTTGGGTCTTGCTGCCCGCAGGCTTTCTCTAGTTGCAGTGAGAGGGGGCTACTCTTTGTGTGGTGCGCGGGCTTCTCATTGTGGTGGCTTCTCTTGTTGAGGAGCACAGGCTCTAGGCACGTGGGCTCAGTAGTTGCAGCACATGGGCCCTAGAGCACAGGCTCAGTAGTTGTTGCTCATGGGCTCTAGAGCACTCAGTAGTTGTGGAGCATGGGCTTAGTTGCTCCACGGCATGTGGGATCTCCCTGGACCAGGGATCAAACCCATGTCCCCTGCACTGGCAGGCGGATTCCCAACCTTTAAAGGGTTAGTTCCCAATGACTTCAAATCCCTCCCCACTTGTTACAATTCTGATTTTTTTTTTTTTCTGTTTTTTGGCCGCACCACACAGCATGCGGGATCTTAGTTCCCTGACCAGGGATCAAACCCGCACCCCCTGCTGTGGAAGCACGGCATCTTAACCACTGGACCGCCAGGGAAGTCCCTATAATTCTTAATTTTTTTTTGCGGTACGCGGGCCTCTCACTGTTGTGGCCTCTCCCGTTGCGGAGCACAGGCTCCGGACACGCAGGCTCAGCGGCCATGGCTCACGGGCCTAGCCGCCCTGCAGCATGTGAGATCTTCCCGGACCGGGGCACGAACCCATGTCCCCTGCATCGGCAGGCGGACTCTCAACCACTGCGCCACCAGGGAAGCCCAATTCTTAATTTCTTAAAAAAGCATCTGGCTTCTCCGAGTGTAAAACAGACAACAAATCTCTGCAGTAGTACAATTCGACGGGAATGAAATCTGAGCACCGGTGTAGTGAGCACTACCACAGAGAACCCCTAAACAAGGAGGTGGCTAGAACTTTCCTGTCCTTTTTAAATGATGAATAACAACAAACGATGAAAAGACATTATCTTACATTTAACTTGTACTCCTTTTGCGGAGCTCAAGAAATCTATATACAGAGAATTCTGAAATCCAAGGTATCTGCTAAAGAGGAAATGAGTCTGGTAGGACCCTGAGCGAACCAGTTAGCTCTGTTCTCTGCTGTCACTACAGATGCAGCCACTAACCTGGACGACCTTCCTGAATGCAGACTTCCAGTCACAAGTGGGGCTTGGAGCAGCAGATCTTCCAACAAGCCACACAAAGAATAAGTTTTACTGATAATGTCATCTACATAACACACGTGGACAGCTTAATTGTTAATTACTATTAAGGTAAGTAAACAGTATTTCAAAAACCCTGCATACCCAACGCAACCATTAGACATCCTATTCTGAAAACTATACAAAAACTCAATTCTCCTAAACTTTACTAGCCAGGATTACCAGTAACAATGAAATTGTCACCACATCTTATCTCCATGAGCCCAATCTAAGCAACACTAAAACTGTGGAAAACCAAATATTAAATATTTTTAGAATATAATGGACTATTTCTCAAGTCAAAGCATTAAAATGCATCTCAAAAGTAAATTCAAAAATAGCTTATCCCAATGTGCTAACCCCCGGCCCCTTTCCAAAATCCTGGGAAGATTTTTTTCAAAAACAACTTGGACTGAAACCTGAATACTGCAAACACCTCAAGAGAAACCTTACAGCTGGTGATTGGCCTCTAAGCTTCCTTCTCCCGCCACCATCCTTAAGCATATGTCCCTGAGGCCTGCCTCTCATCTTCTAGCCCAGGGGTCCCCAACCCCCGGGCCATGGACTGGTACCAGTCTACGGCCTGTTAGGAACCGGGCTGCACAGCAGGAGGTGAGCAGCGAGCGAGCCATGCTTCACCTGTCGCCCCCATCGTTCTCATTACCGCCTGAACCATCCCCCACTCCCGCCTCCCCTCCCCACCGTCTGTGGAAAAACTGTCTTCAACGAAACTGGTCCCTGATGCCAAAAAGGTTGGGGACCGCTGTTCTAGCCTCTCCAACCTCATGAGTCTCAACCATCTCCTTAGGCTACTGGTTAACCTAGGGTCCATGAACTTGGGAAGGGACCATGAATTAGAATAGGAATTACAATTAAATTTAAATCCTTCATTTTCACTAACCTCTTGCCTACATTTAAAATGCATTTTCTTTTCTTTCTTTTTTTTTTTGCTGTACACGGGCCTCTCACTGTTGTGGCCTCTCCCGTTGCTCCGGACGCGCAGGCTCAGCGGCCATGGCTCACGGGCCCAGCTGCTCCGCGGCACGTGGGATCTTCCCAGACCGGGGCATGAACCCGTGTCCCCTGCATCGGCAGGCAGATTCTCAACCACTGCGCCACCAGGGAAGCCCTAAAATGCATTTTCTTTACATCACATATATTTAATATTCTGATAACTACTTTAATATAAATGATTTCCTTTGTAATCCTATTTTTTATTTTATACATTTAAAAACAGTATTTTGAGAAGAAGTCCATAGGTTCCACCAGACTATAAACAGCATCCATTATCTAAAATCCAATTAAACCCCCTAGCCCAGACACATATTCCCAAAATATAATGTTCTCCTGTTCCCATCACAAAAGTACTTGGCTCTGTGCCCTGTCTGCAGACACATCCCTTAGTCCAGACTCATACTCTCCCCCTTCCAGTCTCCCTACTGGCCCCTTCAGTTCTGTCCTGTAGAGTGCCTACTCCATTGAGACTAAATTCCATCACTGATTTTGTTCTTCCCCTAGAACAAGCCTCCTTTCCACCTCCCCCATCTTGTACCAGGGTGGTCTCTGTGTACCACAGAATATAGCAAAAATTATAGTATATCACTTCCTACATTAGGTTATATAGAAAAGACACTACAGTTTCTGCTTGAATCATTCTCTCATGCTCTCTCCCTCTCTTGGATCACTTGCTCTAGGTGAAACCAGCTACCACATCACAAGCAGCCCTACTGAGGGGCCCACGTAACAAGGATTTGAAGCCTCCTGCCAACAACCAGGTGAGTGTACTTGGAACCAGATCCTCTAGTCCCCGTAGAGCCCCTGGCAGTTTGTAACCGCATGAGACCTTGAGCCAAAATCATTCAGCTAAGCTGCTCCTGGACTCCTTACTCTCAGAAACTGTGATAACAAGTGTTTGCTGTCTTAAGTTGCTAAGTTTTGCGGGGATTTGTTACACAGCAGTAAATAATAAACACACTGGGGTTCTACCGTCTTCCTGCTGTTAGTCCCCAGAATGCTCTTAGGAGGCCAGTAACTTACACCAGTCCCTCCAGAACCTTCACATAGTCCTCTACCAGCCTGAGAGAAACCTATGTATCCCCTAAAGACTTGAGCCTTGGTTCACAGCTGCCTTCTCTCTCCTGTCTCCAGCCACCACCAGCAACTATAACTCCACGTGCCGGCCCTTCCAGTACACAGCTGGGCATCACAACACGAATGCAGCCAGACCTCAGATACCACAGGAACTACTTACTGTTCCACCCCACGTTCCAGAACTCTGGTCTCTCTAATCACACAGCTGCTTTTCAAACAGTCCCCTTCTCCCTTATCCTCAATAAGCCTGCCCTTTGTTTTCAGCATGGCTGTCTCTCAAGCCCTCCTTTGCTCTATCAGGTGCCCCTGGTTACACTGGACTCTTACCAAACTAAACACATGGCTAGCCATCTCAATCATGCTTTCATCTAACGTTCATATTTATTAATCCCCTCACCCCATGCTTTGTACATAAATGTTCCCAGATACTGGCGAACTTAAATGTGCAAGCAAGCATACACAGGAGTATACTGACCAAATTGGATTTGAATCCACAACTGATCTAACTCTCTGCACTTTTACCCTATTTCTCTTATCATTAAAAAAAAAATTACCTGGGGATTTCCCTGGTGGTCCAATGGGTGAGACTCCACACTCCCAAGGCAGGGGGCCTGGGTTTGATCCCTGGTCAGGGAACTATATCCCACATGCATGCTGCAACTAACAGTCCGTGTGCCGCAACTAAGAGTCTGCATGCCGCAACTAAGAGTCTGCATGCCGCAACTAAGAGTCTGCATGCCACAACTAAAAAGTCCACATGCTGCAACTAAGATCCTGCATGCCACAACTAAAGATCCCACATGCCACAACTAAAGATCCTGCATGCTGCAACTAAAGATCCCACGTGCCGCAAATAAGATGTGGAGCTGCATAAATAAATGAACAAATACTTTTTAAAAAAATTACCTGGATAATATAGTCACATCCTAATTCATTTGCAACCTCTGTCATTTGTAACAGGTACCTAGTTATTTAATCCAGAAACCCCAGAATCAACTCTGACCCCTAACTCACCATTACTCCCCATGGCCAATCTATCCACGTAGTTCTGCCTACATCACCAGCATCTCTCTCAAACTAGCCCACTTCTTCCTTTTGCTGTTGCCACTACTGCCCCAGCAGAGTTCCTGCCAGCATCACTGCCGTGTCCTGCTACCAGGCTTGCCCCTCTCTAAAGTGAGCAGCCGGGCATCCCTGGTGGCACAGTGGTTGAGAGTCCACCTGCCGATGCAGGGGACACGGGTTCGTGCCCCGGTCCAGGAAGATCCCACATGCTGCGGAGCGGCTGGGCCCATGAGCCATGGCCACTGAGCCTGCGCGTCCGGAGCCTGTGCTCCGCAACGGGAGAGGCCACAACAGTGAGAGGCCCGCATACCACAAAAAATAAAATAAAAAATAAAAAAATTAAAGTGAGCAGCCAAAACACAGTCTGATCTTGTCACTCCCCTGCCCCTCTACCTAACCCTTTTTAAAGGCTTATTCTGCCCTCAGAATAATTTTCAAATTCTTTGGCCTAGAAGATCCTTCACACTGCGTCCCCCACTTGCCTCTCACTTCCCCTTCGCCATCACATCCCTGCTGAGCTACCTGCGAGTTCCAAATTTGCCACAAATACCACCGCCCTTGCCTCTGAATAAAATGTTTCCTCAACTCCCTTCTCTCCACCTACTGTTTGAGGCTAATTCCTCCTACTCCTTCCTTCATTTTACTCTGAGCTAAAATGTTACCTGCTACAGGTAAGAAGGTAAGATACCTCAAAACACTTTCTCAAGCACTCTCCACAGCACCTGGCATTTACATCTCTGAAACTGCACTCTGGGGATTTCCCTGGTGGTGCAGTGGTTAAGAATCTGCCTTCCAATCCAGGGGACACAGATTCAAGCCCTGGTCCGGGAAGATCCTACATGCCGCAGAGCAACTAAGCCCATGCGCCATAACTATTGAGCCTACGCTCTAGAGCCCGCGAACCACAGCTACTGAGCCTGTGTGCCACAACTACTGAAGCCCGCATGCCTAGAGTCCGTGCTCCGCAGCAAGAGAAACCACCGCAACAAGAAGCCCGCACACCACACGAAGAGGAGTCCCCGCTCACCACAACTAGAGAAAGCCCGCTCGCAGCAACGAAGACCCGAGGGAGAGGGGGAGAGGGGGAGAGGGGGAGAAAGAAAAAGGTAGAGAAAGAGAGAAAGAAAGAAAAATTTTTTTGGAAAAAACAAAACTTGCACTCTCTATAGAATAACCGTACCTGGAGATTCACTGAAGGAAGAGCCAATGTCTTCACAATTATACCCCTTTTATGCACAGTGCCTGGCACATAGTAGGTACTCAATAAATGTTAGTTGAATGACAGGTACATTCCAGTTTTTTTTAAGTCAAACATATGACTCAAATATTGTAGCAAAATGTCCTGTTTTAAAAACACATATCCTTAAAAATTATTTACTTCTGTTGAAGTCTAAGTTTAATGTCATTTTTAAAAGAAGACAGAAGACTGAATCTAAAACATTTAAGAACTGAGAAACATTATAACATCAAAAATGAAAACTAAAGAACACATTTCCTTCATATAAAAGAATGTTTTATCAAAATGTCACACTCACCTCTGTAAGCAATATTGCTAGCATATCCTGCCTCTGAAAACGTATAGCCAGATGTACCAGAGTATAGCCAACATCGAAAGCCGAAGGACGGGTCAGCAAGCGCACTTCATCTGCAGTGAGCTGACGGGCAATGTCCCCTCCTGATGATTTGTATGCTTCTATAGCAGCTAAATCACCTTCTACAACCCCTAAAACAAGCATCAAGACAGAAAAAAGTTCAATTTTATTTTTCTTCAAAAAGCATAAACCTGTAGCATTCACTCTAAACTCTGATTCTCTGTGCTTCCTGGATTCCGGGGCATCATTTAAATGTCCTATAGAATGTAAGAAAAATTGGGCTTCCCTGGTGGTGCAGTGGTTGAGAGTCCGCCTGCCAATGCAGGGGACATGAGTTCGTGCCCCGGTCCGGGAGGATCCCACATGCCGGGGAGCGGCTGGGCCCGTGAGCCATGGCCACTGAGCCTGCGCGTCCGGAGCCTGTGCTCCGCAAGGGGAGAGGCCACAACAGTGAGAGACCCGCGTACCGCAAAAAAAAAAAAAGAATATAAGGAAAATTATAGTGTATTCCTTTCCTTTTCATTTCCTTCCAGAATTAGAACTGCCTAGTTAGGCACTTACCATCACATTAGTGCTGGTTCCATGCTCTGGTAATGTTTAGAGAAATTATTAGAATATATTAATTGGATCAAAGATCAACAATCTAGTGTGAGTAACTAGACTTCACAAAAGACACTAAGTTCCTGTTCTGGTCCTGGCTCTGCAGAAACCAAGGAGACAGGGATGTGCTTCCCGTTGGTGTTGGGCTGCTTTTGCCCTTTATTCTGCCTTTCTTTTTTTTTTTTTTGGCGCACTGGGCAGCTTTGCGGGATCTTAGCTCCCGGACCAGGGATCAAACCCAGGCCCACAGCAGTGAAAGCACCAAGTCCTAACCACTGGACTGCCAGGGAATTCCCTATGCTGCATTTTTAAAGCTGGATCAAAACAAATGCTGAGCCTTCCACACTACTGTTTTTGTTAGCTTGGAGACGATTTAGAGCAGTCAAAACCATTTTTAATGTAAGTAAAAGTTAGCAATATTTTGACTTCAGAATTTCTCTTAGCCAAGTCTTCCTTACACCCATTAAGAATTATTAATACAGTAAAACTTGAGCTAGATGATTCTGAACAGAAACAGGCTAAAATAAAACACTATAAACCAGTTGGGGAGTAGAGATACAAAACAAGTATCCATTTTTCCAAATCTATAAAGAACTTTCCATTCCCACTGAACCATGCTATTATTCTTAACACAAATTAATGTTAGGTAATGACAAAAATCCTATTTACTAAGCAGTACAGTACATCTATGGATAATAAATAGCCTTGGCAAAAACTGAAGGTGTAGGTTAGCTTCAAATTTACCACAAATAGTATTAAACACACACACACACACACACACAAGACTGTAGGACTAAATAACTTTGTTTCCTAAATTACATCAAGAAAAATTTGTTACATAAAATGCTACTACTAGCTAGAAATATTCCTGGGTACTTTAAAAAAAGCATTTTAAACTGCTATCTTGAATTAGGAATTAGATAAATAAGACCTATTCCTTAGATTATTACAGATTGGTACAATGCAACAAGTTCCCCTGTTATTAAAAATAACAAAGCTTTAAAATGATAATTTCCACATTCACCAAATGGCCATGACACATAAAGCAATATGCTGGGCACTGTGAGAAACATAAAGACAGTAAAAACATGATTCCCACACTCAAAACAGTCCTTCATCACATTTGTGAGCCATAAAAAGCCAGCTTCCAAGTGTTCCAACTCTGGGATCAAAGATCCCTTCTGCAAAACTAGATCCTCTCGCCAGAAAAATGACCCCCTCCCCCTGAAACATATATTTTTCAGGTTAACAATCCATGATTTCAAATGAGAGTACCTTACAGAAATTTTTATTTTCACAGCAACGTAGGTTAATACATTCCTCAATATAAACACCTAAGGACAGCTATAGCCCCCACTGCGATACATAAAGGCCTTCAACATACCCTTACAAGGCTTAGTGCCCTGGAGAAATCATCAAGGCTAAAATGTAATATAGTTGGCATGAGACATGGGTAGGTGAACCTTCTCAAAAGGGCAAACCTGACGAACAGACACACAAATCTAAAATCTGCGTAACTTGTTTCAATGAACAGATGAGAGTAATTTAGTAGCGCTCATAACTTTTTGAATAATTTAATGCCGTACATTTTTTTCAAACTGAACATGCCCTACTCCATTTCCTTTCGTGTGTATATATTTCCTTATGAAGGCAACTACTGTTCACTTCAGTTCTATCAAAACTATTAATAACTATTTCTAGGTGTGTGCAGTATCACCACACCTTTTACAGTTTTTAGCTTCAACCTAAAAATATATATTTAGGGCTTCCCTGGTGGCGCAGTGCTTGAGAGTCCGCCTGCCGTTGCAGGAGACGCGGGTTCGTGCCCCGTTTCGGGAGGATCCCACATGCCGCGGAGCGCTGGGCCCGTGAGCCGTGGCCGCTGAGCCTGCGCGTCCGGAGCCTGTGCTCCGCAAATGGGAGAGGCCACAACAGTGAGAGGCCCGCATAACGCAAGAAAAATAAAAATAAAAAAAAAAAATAAATAAAAATAAAAATATATATTTATAAAATTTCTTTGTATGATGTAAGAAATGTTCTAGGCACTTCCAAAAGCAACACAAGGACCAAAAAGTCTGATTTACCTGAAAAGATAAAGAGGAAGACCTGCACAGTACATGTATATGCGTGTGTGTGTGTGTGTGTGTGTGTGTGTAAATACACACATATATTTTTTTGTTTCCCAAAGACAAAGATGAAGTAATCTAAAGGTAAACGTCAACTAACTTTGTTCTTTTGGTTGGAGGGAGGGGAGATCTTTTAAATCAGTGTCTTCACTATTTTTAGCTAACTCATCAAATAACTGATGTCTGAAAGAATCTCATCTTAGAAATACTTGCTTAAGAATTCATTTCCTCTCTAATGTTTCTGAAGGATTTCTGTAATTAGAAACTAATTAGCTAGCCGAAGGTGGGGAGGATTACAGACCAAACAGCACAACAAAGTCAGCAACTGTGCTTTGGAGTTATGATTTATAGTCTGCCTTCAAACTAAACGTTTTTAATGAAAACAGAACTTCAAATAATGAACTGCATGGTACGTGAATTGTATCTCAATAAAGCTGACATACAAACACAAAAACTGGACTTCTATTTGGCCTAATCCAAGACATAAAAAACCATTATTTCCCCTGACCACAAGCTCTGCACTAAACTGCAAATAGGGATTCCTGCCCCCCCTAGCATGGAATATACACAGGAGGGCAGAAAATGAGGGTGAACAGAATAGAGATTCTGTTCTCTATTCATCACAGCATAAAAAACCTCCAAACTTTCCAGAACATGAAAAACACAAATTTAAGTATAGGGACAAAATAATATTTAAGAGAAAACTATTTTATTGTCTAATGTTTGGAAATATATAATTCCATTCTTTTCATTAACCATAATTTAGAGCTCACAGTTTCAGTTACTGGTGAGTTTTTGGCTACAAAGATGAGTAAATTTATTACAAATTTCATGAGAATGTCAATCAATTGTCCTAATATTTGTTGTATCTCTGTTACACACTGCTCAAGAGGAGCCAGTGATTAAAGTTTCTTCACAGATGGGTTTGCACTGTAAACGTGGTGTCTAAAGAATGTGGCCTATACTGAGATAATTTAAGTTTTAGCTACCACATGTTTTCTACTTGGCGGACTTGGCGGGGGGGGGGGGGGGGGGAGCATCAGATTATATGCAAAACAACTTAGAAAATGTCTGAGTTCTTCACATAACATTACATTTTTACCACCTTTTAAGATTACGGAATAAAACGGAAAGCAGAAAAAAAGTAAAAGAGTTGGTAGGTAGGAAAATACAGTAAATAAATCTAAGTGGTAAAACCTCACTTAATGTAACAAAGATCAGGAAAAAGCGGGAAAGTTCCAGCAGAAGAGAAAGAGGTGACATACACATGCTTTCTAGGTTACTGACATATCACACTATCTCCAAGAGTAACTAAAGCATCTTAATATGTTGTTTTGAAAATTTAACAAATGTTAAATATTAAATGTTCTGTCCCTTCCTCTTCCATGTTATGAAGGCAAATTAAAAAGACAGCTGAGGGCTTCCCTGGTGGCGCAGTGGTTGAGAATCTGCCTGCTAATGCCGGGGACACGGGTTCAAGCCCTGGTCTGGGAAGATCCCACATGCCACGGAGCAACTAGGCCCGTGAGCCACAACTACTGAGCCTGCGCGTCTGGAGCCTGTGCTCCACAACAAGAGAGGCCGCGATAGTGAGAGGCCCGCGCACCGCGATGAAGAGGGCCCCCCGCTTGCCACAACTAGAGAAAGCCCTCGCACAGAAACGAAGACCCAACACAGCCATAAACAAATAAATAAATAAATTTAAAAAGAATAACAACCCAAGCCAAGCTGTAGGATGTTATTTGAAATTCAAAATAGATTCTCAGGCAGATAAATAAACCAAGTGCCCACTGTTTTAAAAAAAAGACAGCTGAAGGCACTCTAAGAAGATTAACTTTATAAAACTAACCTGCTGTATCAATATACATTCAAAATTGAGTGAACTACACAACTAGCTAAGTGGTGGTGCATAATTACAGATAAAGGAAAGTTAATATACCTTAAAAGCCTAAAGACCCGAGAGTAAGTGAAATTATAAAAATAAAAAAAAATTTAAGAAAAGCTCATATTGTTCTGTAAGCTGGGCCAGGAGTAGAATTTAACGTATTTTGAAGTCACGGGTCACAACTCACTGGGGACACTTCACAGCTACTATGGAACTCCGTTGGTTAGAATATGGAGCTGGCTCATAGATGTTTAGAAAACAGACTTATTTTTTCCCCCATATATGGCACCATTTTCAAAGTTTTGCCTTGTTTCTTTTGACATGAAACCATAATGGTAACTAACTTTGAAAAGAATGCCAAATGGTAAAAAAAAAGCCAGGACTTACCTGAGCCCACATGGGCCAGCTCAACACTACCCTGGAGTTCTATGGTAGCTGTGACATCACAGCATGGTTTATGCTGTGGGGTCAGGGTGGACTTGGAGTCAGCTGGCACAATTTCAGGAGCCCTTAAAGAGAA